TTTGCTAGCACGGCCATCATGGCCACAGCGAGGAGAGGCTGGCAGTGAGGGAGACGTGCAGTCTGTCTCGAGTCCTGCATGGCTCTTGCTCGTTTGCACCTTTACCTCCCATCTCATAGCGGTGGCCTTTCTCCACCCCTCTCCTCTAGGAGGATCAGGACTGACAGTCCCGGTGAGCCTGTCAGTCCCTAAAGGTACCAGTGACTCTTCTCCTCTCTTCCCTGCTTCCTGTTCACTGGCTGGACAACCTGAGGAGCTGTCTCTGCCGCTTTTCTCATCCCACAGCCTCATATTCGGGTGTGAGCTCCTAGTGTTTCCAAACCAGGCACAGAGGTGGGGGGCTCCAGTCTGTGAAGAATGGAAACTCCCAAGCTGTGCTGACCTCAGATGACTCACCTCCGGGCTCATCACAGCTCCTGCTGAGCAGTAGCTATGAAAGACAAAGAGGCAGTGAGAGCGGGTTTTCCCTGAATCCTGATTTTTCAATAAGGGCTGGAGATACAAAGCTGGCTCAGCGGGAATAGAGGTCTAATAGAGTCTGATCAAAAGGGGCCACCTGGAATGCATGCTTGAGCAGTATGGCATCATGTGTTTGGCCTTACCTTCTTCGCAGGTGGATCGTTTGTACCTGTACACACACACACACACACACACACACACACACACACACACACACACACACACTGCAGGAGAGCTTGCAGTAGTCCCTGGGTCCCCTAGTGTGATACACTGTCCTATGAAAGTAGAGGCAGGGCTGTGATCAGGACATCCTCCTTCCCCTGGGACAGGTTTCCTTACCACCTGCTCCAACGTGCCTTAGGAGGTGCAGCCCTCCATTGGCCGATGGCAGGCATCACCATGCTTGAGAAGCAATGGGATACTGATGGATACTGTGTGCTGTTCATCTGATTTGTCCAAATCTGGACTTTGATGAAGTCACCATGATGGAAACTTGCAACTCAAGGTTATGAACAAGTTTCTTGTAACTAATAAATCAATGAGGAGGAAGTGACATGTAAAAGAAGAGAATAGAACTACCACATGATCCAGTAATCCCACTACTGGATAGGCATCCAAGAAAATAAAGTCAGTTTGTGGAAGAGATGCCTGCATCCCCGTGTTCATTGCAACAGTATCTCAAAAGATTCAGCATTAACCTAAGTGTTCATTAACAGAGGAATAAAGAAAACATTATCTATCTTGCAAGAGAAGGAAATTCTGTGCCAGGAATTTAGCTCAGTGGCACCATGCCTGCCTTGTGCAAACGAAAGAAAGAAAGGAGAGAAGGAAATTCTGTCATTTGTGATGGATAAACCCAGAGGATATTACACTAAGTGAAATAAACCTGACACAGAAATACCAGAATAATGCCACGAGCCAGGCAAAAAGCATGTACATGCATATATGACTTATCTTATCTGTGAAATCCAAAAAAGTTGAACTCATATAAGTAGACAGTAGAAAGGTAGTTACCAGGGACTATAGGTAGCAGCTGGGAAGATGTTTGTCAAACAACAAAAATATTCACTGAAATAGAAGGAGTAAGTTCAAGAGATGCTTTCTACAACATAGTGGCTGTAGAAAATAACGATGCACTTTATTCTGAAAATCACTGAGAGAAAAATTTAACAATTCTTACCACAAAAATTCTAAGTATATGAATAATGCACACTAATCAGCTCACTTGAGCCATTGCACAATGTATACCTCTTTCAAAATATCACAATGTATATAAGGATGTACAGTCTTTGCCAAAGAAGGGAATGAAATAAAATTGTAAAGGACTTTGGCAGTGAGTCAAAGTAAAATGAAAAGAGAATCATGTACACTGAGTGCTGCTATGGCTTGTGTCAAGATATCCCCCCAATGCCTCATGTGGTCATACAGGTGGTTTGCTTTGCTGTTTTGGTTTTGGAGAGGAAGATTGATCTAGTGTGTGATGCTGGGATTAAGGGTGTGTGATTACTAAATTAGTCCACTGACTGGTTTGGCACAATTCTGGGTGTGAGTGTTATCTACCTTAGGGGGAGGTAGTTTAGATAGAACAGAAGGGGACAGAAAGTCGCCAGTAGTAGTTTGCTGCTTGCTGCCTTCTGCCTGCCATGAACTATTTCTCTTTTGTGATGTCCCTCTGCCATGCCACCCTGCCTTGGAGCCAACCAAATATGAACTGAAACCTCTATAAACTGTGAGCCAAAATAAGCTTTTCCTCTTCTAACTTTGGGTGTGGGCTATTTTGTCTCAGCAACTAAGACAAGCGCGTATTAGCTCTAACATTTACATATTAATTTTGCCCAAACAAATGTTTTACAAAAAAATGTTCTTCAGGACACTCTGAACTCTGGTCTTCATGTGGTTGAAAAATGGCAGAAATTAAAGATGAATTTAATTATTATTGGGCATGTCTGCCTTTCCTGTTAATGGTCCAGTGATGTTTGGTAAATATAGACTTATGTAGTTTTAAAAAGTTGGGAATATATGCATATGTATGTTACACATATAGAAATACACAAATCCATATATGTAGCTGTGAGAGACTGCTTGGGCCTGCACAAGATGGCTGCCCTCAACCTTAGCCTTTGCCTCAGTGGAAAAATCCCACTAGACTACATACGTGACTTTTGGCAGGTCTAGCCCCTGGGCAAACAGGAAATCTTACAGAAAGAATAGCCCTTTGTGCTAACCACAGGGTCATGGGATCTGGAGCAGGAGGCCGGTGGTATTTCCTTGTCCTGCTTGCCCCTAGAGATTGTTAAGTTAAAGATTGCATAGGGTTAACTGTTGATGTATGCCTTCCCACTTACCCCTCCCCACATTTGGTAAAATACTGATTGCTGTATGGTTAAATGCTTGAGTGACTCATGTGATTGGTAGAGGATTTGTTTGAACTGTCCAATAAGCTTGCTGAACCTTCCCCCTGGGATAACAGTATATAATCGTTTTGCTGAGCCAATAAAGAGCCTTTGATCAGAAACCAGACTTGGGCCGTGTGCTCTAACTTCTTAAAGATTTCCTTCACAGACATTCAAGATCGGATCGGCCTCTGATGACCCACGAATAAGAGGCGGCTCTCACCTCCTATTCCCCGCTGGACGGGGTCCCCCCAGAGAGCCGCATGTAGCATTATGCCGGCAATATATGTAGAACATTTCAGGAAAGATCAACAAGAGACTGGTAAGTGGTTATTGCTAGGCATGGGAACTGAAGGTGATACTAGGGGACAAGATACTTAATTCTTTGTGTTTTATGTCCTTTTGTAGCTTCAGATTTTCATGATGTAAACATATTAAGGATTCAGCAATAACCTGGACAATGTAAGGATTCTTTTGTAAGTGCTAAAATTTGGAAACAGATACCTAGGTAAGAAATATTTGAGTCTATAAGGTTCATAAATGACAGGGGTAGGACATATCTGGGACTGTCTGACTTTCAAGCCAGGGCAGTATTTCATTTATCATGGTAATTTTTTGGATGCATTCGTCTGGTAATGAATATAAAAGACAACCAAATTTTAAACATTTGTGCTTTACAGATTGTAATTTTTTTTTTTAATACTGGCGATTGAATCTTAGGCTTTGCACATGCTAGGCAAGTATTCTAGCACTGAGCTATACCCCAGCCATTTTTAAATTTTACTTTGAGATAGGGTCTCACTAAGTTGACCAGACTGGCCTAGAACTTGGAATATCCCTGCCTCAGCCTCTCAAATAGCTGAGGTTACAGGCATACACCACCATGCTCAGCTCAGACTATGTGTGTGTGTGTTTTTTTAAAGAAACTCTATAAATCATCCAAAAAATCCCAATAATCTGTGCTTCTCCCAAGCTGTGCAACTCTCACGAGCTTGTCAATATATGACTCCGAAGGAAAGCACTGTATTTTCCTTAAACTCCCTATAATTTAAAATTGTTTTCAGCAATATCAGTCAAATTAAACAGCTTTATTCTCTTTGGTGTTTTCTAGGTTCTCTGTGCAAGAGAAAATTTTCTTGTCTCATTTAAACATTTTGCTCTACTAATACACAGACTTGTTAAAATAAATGTTGATGAATATTTAAATCATTTTGGTTTGCTATTCATAGAACATTGGCATTATCTATCAAGGTTGAAAATATGCATCACGCAGTATTCAGCATTTCCTCTCCTCGATGTAAATCCAATAGAAAATGCATGAGTATGTGCATCAACAGGCAAGAATACTCATGAAGGTCTACTCGTGATGCCTCTCTACGGAAACCTAGGTCTCCAGTGATGCTTCTGTACCATGGTTGCATATTCACTCAATGCCCACAGCGAGGGTACTACTAGAGGGCAATCTGCCTGCCATTGGCAAACATCCCTCTTAGCTGAAAGATTGGCAAGAAAAAATTAAATAAACAAGAGCATCAACCACAAAGTCGACAGGAAATCTATGTAAGGACGTTACAAAAGAAAATGTATATTTACTCTGAAAGTGGACGAGGGAACACCTATCATAGAGAAAAAAAAATATATATATATATGAAAAAAGAGACATCTGCTTGGTGTTTTCACTCGGAGGCAAAAAGAAAGGGCCTCCTTGGAGGCTGAAGTAGGGAATAATAAAAACAGGCAAGGCCAAAACACAGGGCGATGCAGACTGAAAAGGGAAGAGTGCTAGCTAAGAAGAAAAAGGAAAATGTAAGATTAAAACCCCAGTGACAACCCTTATGTGTTCATTCGGAGGTAGTCAAAAACTAGAAGTATCACAGCAGAGAACAAAATCGGTGGTACAGATGACAAAGTTGTTAGATCATCCAACATAGGATGGGAAGAAAGGACGAATATGGAAGTGACCTTGGATGACCAATCCTACAAGCAATAAAAACATTTTTTTTAGAAATGCTTTTTCTGAGAAGCTTGTGGTTATTATTTCTTAGTACATATCTGCAATGCATTTAAAACTTTGTCTTTCTCATGTATAAGGGCAGCCATGTGATATTTTACCTTTGCAACAAACCACAACAAATAAAATAGGAACAGTAAAACAAAGTTGGGTTACAATTTTTTTTATTAGTTGAAAAAAGTGCCTGGTTTTATAAACTGTAGAGTTTACCTTGTCCTGGGAAAACTAGAGTTGGGACAGCTTTTTCCTCTCACTGACAAACAGGAAAGTACTACACCAGTAACAGAGCGGTTGAATTTCGTTTTATTTTTGAGCATCAATGTGCTGAAGGCCTAGATGCGGAGCAACCCCTGGAGGAAGATGCCGAAACTGTGCATGAACGTGGGCGGCCCAATCGTCAGTCCGGGCTGCAGTTCCTGGCGGGGCTCTGCGTGGCAGCCTGTTTTTTAAAAGTTCATTAGGTTTATGGGCTGGGGATTTAGCTCTGTGGTTCCACCGCCTACTCACAAGTGCAAGGTGAACCCGAGTTCAATCCCCGGTACCAAAAAACAAAATAAAACAAAAACAAGAAAAATTAACTGTATTGGCATTTTAGGTGTACAATATGATGACATTAATTATTGGGAATTTGTACCTTTACATGATAATATTAGGCTTATTGTTTCCCCATTCCCCCTTGCCATCCCCTCCCTTCAACTACCTCACCCCAGAAAGAATGGCTGCTATCAAGAAATCAACCAATAACAAACACTGGCGGGGCTGTGGGGAAAAAGGAACCCTTCTTCAGTGCTGGTGGGGGTGCAGACTGGTGCAACCACTGTGGGAATCAGTATGGAGACACCTCAAAGAGCTAGGATTAGAGGTCCCATTTGCCTCCACTATTCCCTGCTGGGGATCTTCCCCAAAGAAAAGAATCAATTATACCACAGTGATATATGTGCACCCATGTTTATAACAGCACAGTTTCTAATAGCTAAAACTTGGAAACAGCCCAATTGCCCATCAACTAGTGACTCGATAAAGAAGATGTGGATTGTTTATAAAATGGAATGCTACTCAGCCATAAAGAGTGAGAAAGGAAAGAAGGGAAAAGAAAAATATGAGAGAAGGAAAAAATGGAAACAAAAGCTTTTGTAAATAGGGAAGGGTAGAGGGGTGAAGGGAGGGCAGGAGAATGGGGAAAAATAAGAACCAAGATAGGTCATGTAAAGGTACAAGGTCCCAATGGTGAACATTAACTGTACTGTATACCTAAAAGGTACCAATACACTCAATGAGAAAAAAAAAAAAAAAAAAATGAGAAACAAAAGAAACTACAGACATTTACAGAGAAACGGATGCACATTGAGGCCATATTCTTAAGTGAAACAGGAACACAGATGTGTAAATACAGAATAGTTTCTCTGGTGTGAGAAACTGAAAGTGTAAACAAGGACTAAAGGACACTGAGATTCCACCTCACCCCACAAAGAATGGCTGCTATTAAGAAATCACACAATAACAAATGTTGGTGGGGTTGTGGGAAGAAAGGAACCCTTCTCCATTGTTGGTGGGAGTGCAGACTGGTGCAACCACTGTAGAAATCAATATGGAGATACCTCAAAGAGCTGGGACTAGAGGTTCCATTTGACCTAGCCATAGCTCTGCTGGGTATCTTTCCAAAAGAATTAAAAGAATCGTATCACAGTGATATATGCACACCTATGTTTATAGCAGCACAGTTTGTAATAGCTAAAACTTGGTAACAGCCCATTTGCCCATCAGTTGGAAACTGGATAAAGAAGATGTTGTTTTTCTATAAAATGGAATACTACTCAGCCATAAAGAATGAGAAATTAGAGTCATTCATAGGAAAATGGATACGTTTTGAGGATATACTCCTAAGTGAAATAAATAAGTCACACACGTGTAAATACCAAATAGTTCCTCTGGGGTGAAAAACCATAATAGAACACAAGATCCTAATGAGATAATTAACAATGTGAAATAGAAAAGGGCTAAAGGTGTAGGGAAAGTGGGAAGGATAGGGGAAAGGGAATAAGGGAAAAGAAAAAAATATGAGAAAATGAAAAAATGGAAATAAAGTGTTTGTAAATGAGGAGGGGAGGAGGGGGTGAAGGGAGGGCAGGGACGAAGGGAAAAAATGAGAAAAAAGGCCTGTCATGTAAAGGTACAAGATCCCTATGATGAATATAACTGTACTGTATACCTAAAATGTAGCAATAAACTCAATAAAAAGAAAAAAAAGGACTAAAAGATATAATAGATAATGTGAAATAGGAAGAGAAGGAGCCAAGGGGAAGGGGAAGTGGGAGGAATAGGGGAGAGGAAAGAAGGGAAAGGAAAAAATATGGGAAAAGGAAAAAACGAAAACAAAGTCTTTGTAAACAGGGAGGGGTGGAGGGGTTGTTTCCAATTTCTTGAGGAACCCTACATTATGTTTTCCATAATGGCTGTGCTAATTTACATGTCAACCAGCGGTGATACTCACAAGGGCTCCCTCTTTCTAAATAGTTGCTTATTTTCTTTTCAGAAATGTCTGTTCAGGGCCTTTTTGGGGGGCAGGGTGCTGAGACACGGTATTGCTTTGTAGCCCAGGCTGGCCTCGAGGTCGCAGCAACCCTCCTGCCTCAGTATCCCAAGTGCTGGGATTATAGGTGTGCCCCGCCACTTCCAGCCTTTGGTTCATTTTTATATTGCATTATTTGTTTTCTTGATATTGTATTGAGTAATTTTAGCAATAGTTTTCGTGATTTGGTTGCATGGTCTTGAGTTATTCAACTAAATAAACAAACTTACCCATCTGCTAACAAGAGCAAACTCTGGTCTTCTCAGGCACACACTTGTATAGGTGTTCTGAAATAATATTATTGATAACTACTGCCTTTTACTCTCCACGTTGCACAAACACATGCAAGTGATGTGTGTGGGTTTCCATTTGACTCACTGAACTATGCCCTACCTTCCACAGCCTTCCACTGACACCTACACAGTCCATGCTCAAGCACCATGCACCAAACCATGAAAAATATTGCTAAAATTACATAATAGTGTTCAAGTTTACGATATTCTGAGACCACCTTACTAGTTGCCCAAGGCTTCATGGGGCCCAGGTGTTGAGCACATTTGAACACAGTCGGGCTAAAGTGTATTTTAAGCCTGATATTTTCCCATTTATTTCCTGTTTGGATGGTCTTCCTGTTACTGAGAGTGGGTCATGCAATCTCTACAGTTTTTGCATTACAGTTTATCTCTCTCGTCACACTTATTAATATGTTTTATGTATTTAAGCGCTCCAATGTGGGTATATATATAACTGCTATACCGTCTTGATGAATTGAGGACATAATAATATTTTAACATTTTTGGTCTCCTCTTACAGTTTTTGATTTTGAGTTTATCTGATTTAAGTATAGCAATTCCGGCTGTATTTGGGTTTCCATTTACACTAAATATCTTCTTCCATCTTCTCACTCCCACTCTTTGTGGGTGTTTAAGCCAGCAGTGTGTCTCTTACAGGCATCACATAGTCAGCTCTGGGTCTCTTTGTTTTCTAATCCATTCAGCCACTCTGTTGCTAGACTGGACAATTTAATCCATTAATATTCAAGGTAATTATTCACAGGTAAAGACTTCTGCCATTTTGTTAATTATTTTCTGGTTGTTTTGTAGCCTCTTTGTTCCTTTCTACTCTCTTATTTTTCTTTGTGATTAGATGATTTTCTCTAGAGATATGCTTTGATTTCTGCCTTTTCACCTTTAGTGTATCTGATGTTTTCCCTTTAGGATTATCATGATACTTACATAAAACATAGTTATAACAGGCAATTAAAGCTGATAACAATTTTAACCACATATAAACTCTATACTTTGACTCCACCCTCCACAACATTTTTCAATGTCATAATTTACATCTTTTTATATTGAGTATCTCTTAATGTATTCTTGTGGCTATGATTAGCTTCAACAGCTTTGTTTTTTAATCATCTTACTAAATGCACAAGTGATTTAGGTACCAACATTACAGTACTAAAGTATTCTGAATTTAACTGTGTAATTAACTTTGGGTGGGGGGTACCGGAGATCGAACTCAGGTCCTTGCACTTGCGAGGCAGGAGATAGAACCACTGAGCAAAATCCCCAGCCCCTGTGTAATTAACTTACCAGAGAGTTTTATACTTTCATATGTTTTTGTATTACTAATATGAATGTGGCATAGTACATAGGTTGGAAAGTCCATAAAACCTATGTGTAGCCAAATGAATTAAGGTAAGGTACTCATCAGTGTGAATACCACACAGGTCAAGAAAACAGTGTTTCAGAAGCTCCCCTTTACCCCTTCCCATCTCAGCCCTCTCCTATGCCCAGAAAAATATATTCTTCTGATTTTTAAAGTGATTACTCTTTGCTTTTCATTATGTCTTTACCTTCTAGATATGTATTCCTAAGATTAACAGTTTAGTTCCACTGGTTTTAAACTTATATTGCAGACCATTTTTGGATGTGACTTATTTGGAGACATATTTTATTTGAGATTTATCCATATTATTACATTGAGTTCTACTTCATTCATTTTCATTGTTGTACAGTGGGGAGTCAGGATCTTTTCCTGCACAGGGCCTGAAAGTAAACATTCTAGGTTTTGTGGACCAAAATATATTTATGTAACAGGAGACAAAACAAATTCTCACAAAATGTTTATAGGTAAATTTCAAAATTTCATAACAGCAATCAACTATATCTTGTTGCAGTACAAGTCTGCCAATTAGAAGAACGGAATTCTTATTCATGTGGGCTAACATTTTGCTCCACTAGGGTTCTAGACATCAAAGTTGACTGCAGCACTTGTCTGTTGGCAGGGATGTGTAGTAAGATTTTCTCCTCCCTTACCTCATTCCCAATCTCATCTTTGAAAGGTCCTTTCACAGATAAGTACTGCCAATCCTCACATCAATTCAGGAGGATATGTCTTCAACTGTGCATACTTATTGCTTCAAAGGCACCTGTGGAATTCTATTAAAGCCCTTTCTTGATATTCACTGCTCAGTGTGTTGTTACAATGCAGATTAGTCACTACCAGCTGACAGTTCCATGCACTTGCCTCTATTGTATAGTTAAATGGATTTTGGGGTATGGAAATTTCCTTTGTACCCATTTCAAGATCTGAAAAAGCTACAAGGTAAGTATTTTAAGCTTAAAATCTCCTCAAGTCTGCTACAAAGGCTAATTTCCAAAGCCATTCAGTCTCTTAGCACTGTTTTAACAGAATGTGGTTTTTGGTTTTTTGGTTTTTTTATTTAGAAAAAGTTCAGTCGTGGTCCTGAGCTTAAAACTCACACTAAAACTTTCCCACTCTCAACCAGCAAATGTCAGTGTGGTACTGCACATGAAGATAGTAAGCTTCTATTTCCGACCCAAAGAAATCATGACATTGACTGTGGTGAAGCATGGGAAAGGGCGTGAGTTTTTACCATCGACACAAGCTGGTTAAATAACGCAGGATAGATTCAAGATTTCCCCAACCGAAAAAAAGGATATCTACCAGAAACCCAAAGCAGACATTCTATGAGAAACTCAGTCTTGCAGTTGGGGGTCCTCTAGGTTCCAATCCATCACGCCAGCACATACACACAGACGATAAAAGCTCTCCGGATTCTATTTCTCCTAGCAAAGTTTGCCTTTGGAAAGCCTAAATCTCAGCCTGTGTGGACTTGCCCCAACATCTCAAGGAAAAAAATAGATGATAGTGGCATATCACTTAAGAAAGACTCTTTTCTCTTCAACTTTAATTCATCTTGCTCCCTGTATAGGTACAGCTTTCCACTGTCTTTAAAAACCCCATTTATAATGTATTCATTACTTTCTCTAATTGTTGCAGTGAGAGAGGACTTGAAGTTACCTACTGCATACTACCTACACTAAAGCAAAACGTGTTTTATTAATTTGTTACTTTGTCATCTTTTTATTTTTTTGATCTAATATGATCCAATTTCTTGAAAAGGATTGTTTAATCTTATTTTCAGCTTTTCTAATAAATATCTTTAAGAGTGCACGTTTCCACACAAGCTTCTTTGGTAGTATTCCATAAATTTGATGTGTGACACTTTGGACTTTTTCAGTTTAAAATATTTTCTAATTTTTGTGCCGATTTTTTTAAATGAATAGACTATTTTAAAAATATACTTTTGGGCTGGGGATTTAGCTCAGTGGTTCCACCACCTGCCTCAAAAGCAGAAGGACCCGAGTTCGATCCCCAGTAGCCCCCCACCAAAAATACATATATACTTTTTAATTTCTAAAAATTAGATTATATCACTGATTCTCAGATTCACTACATTTTTATCAGAGAACAAAGTTTGTATAATTTTAATTACAGTATGTGAAAATTGGCTAAGATTTGCTTTATTCCCTGTACAGAGTCAGTTTTTATATGTATTCTGATTGCACATTAAATGAACATGCATTCTGCCACCTGCCTCACAAGTGCAAGGACCCAAGTTTGATCCCCAGTACAAAAGGGGGGAAAAAAGAGAGAGAGAGAGAGAGAAGAGCGACCATGCATTCTGTAGCTGCTGAGTGTGATAGTTTATAAATGTCCATTATATTTTCCTAAAAATACTTCATTAATTTTTCTTTCTCCCCAAGCCTCAATGCCATTCGCCAACATGACAGCACATATAAGACAAAGGAGCAAAAACCTGCTTCCACCCTTTCCCCTTCTCATCAGAGTTTTACTTTCGGTTGACTCTTAACTTCCTTATCCTGGTAACCTGATACTTCAGGTGGTAAGTGTTAATTGTGTTACTAAGGCAGAAATGACATCTGAGTGGTAAACTGCATCGAGAATGGGAGAAATCAAAAACAGATAATCAATGCCTAACAGGAAGTTTATAAGTGATTCCAGCCTGTGGTGTGTGATGCTTGTAAACCAGGCCAGCTCCTGCACCTATCCAATATGAATCTCCTTTCCTTATGTTAATACTCAAGTGCTGTCATGTGGGGCCATGTGTCCTGCATGGTACAAGCTCCTCTGGAAGGAGAGTATCTGGAGCTGCTCTGCTGGAAGCCATTTCCTGTCTTATGTCTCGCTGAATAAGTCCATGCCAAGTGTGGGCCACGCTAGCCTTGCAAGCATGAATACTCAGGTGAGCCTGCCACCAAGCCCTGGTGGGTGGTGCAGGAGATGCTGGGTTGGACTGGGGCAGGCTCTGTTCCTCATACTAACGACTAGCATGGTTCGTCAGAGCGTACCTTGCTCTCCTCATGAGAATAAGCTTTTTAAAATAATGCTCACACATTCTGTAGCTTTATTTGTGATGGAGTACAGCTATATGGTAAAGAACTCATAGAAAGCATCTAGAGTTCTGATTTCTAGAGCACAAACATCCAACCACTGTAGCATCAACTCTGACTCCACAGTGGGTGGCCTGACCTAGATGGCACAGGCCAATTGAAATGCAAGTGCTTCGTTTTCTTCGACGAGGGACAGTCTGCCCACACTGTGCATGAAGCCAAGCAATGCCATTTCTCCTCCTCCTCCCTAATGGAAAAGCAGGCTCACCTCAGCCGTGGTTCTCATTCTGAGCGTCATCGTCAAGGATCTGCTCAGCATTTGAGACCTCGTCCTGCTGCCGCTCCGTAAAGCTCTGCTGGAGCATGGTTTCTGTGTGCCCGTGGATGATCTGATGGGCCGCAAGGATGTGCTTCCGCTGCGCATTCCTCACTGTGCCAAAGCGACAGAAGAATTCTTACTAGGAAAGTTTGAATGACACCGTTCCCAAATTTTTTTTTTTTTTGGTACTGGGGATCGAACTCAGGACCTTGTGCTTGCGAGGCAGGTGGCGGCACCACTGAACTAAATCCCAGGCCCTCCCAAATGTTTTTTGAGAGTAGTGAAAAGAATGTTAATTTGCAAGCCATGTATTTTTCTGACTTTGGATTGACTGGATTAAATAAAAAGTGCCTGCTCTCTGTGATAGAAGGACATCTTCCAAAGGTGAACCAAACCCAGGCCTTGCTTCTGCTCCCTCTCTGCTGTCTTTGGTTCAGTCCAATAAGTTCCTCCCTTCTGGGCTTGCCTCCAACCCACCACTCAGGGGTCCTCTGGAACACCTGAATCCTGCCCTTTTGCAAAACCCGGGTCAAGTCCCAGACCCTCCCAGATGTCTGCTCTAATCGGGTCAGTCCACATTCACCATCTGCCATTTGGACAAAGCCATGCAGCATCGAAGCACTTCGTACGAGTGACACTGTTCTCTAACTACAGAGAAGTGGTTACAAATGACAGATTGCCCTCACCGAGGCTCTCATCTCGTACCTCCTTAGTTCCTATCATAGAGGGCAATACTGGTTGATGATGAGTGCCTGAGTTCATGGCTTTAAAAGAAGGTCCTAGCTCCAAACTCTAAGAATATTTATGATCGAGTCTTAGTACAGACAATTTTAAACAATGAAGCCATTAGAAGGGAGAGGTGTTGATATTGATGACGATGATGATAGGGGAAGTTAGCATTTGTCCTTGCTTTGTGCCAGACACCAATTTAAGTAGGTGACATGTAACTATTCACTTAATTCCCCAACCATCCTAAAATAGATTATCCGTAACTCCATTTTCAGAAGAAGAAACAGACATGGAGAGGTTAGGTTACCCAAAGCCATACAGCTGGTAAATGACAATAAGAAGTAATACGGATTTTTTGCTACTTGGGTATCAACTACTTTATATAGGGTAATTCGCACAGGAGCTTATTGTCCTTTGCAGTAGTACAGCTGAAAAAGCACAGGTTTTGGAGCCACAAGATTGTGACTCGACTCTGCAAGTCATGTGTTTCCACCACTAATTTCCTTACCTGGAAAAAAAGACTAAACCTACAACTGCTGTAAGAAATCGAGATAATTTACATTTTCAAATGCTCGGTGTCCTGCCTGGAACATAGCATGTATATAAATTTTGGCAGCTACTGTTATTTTACATCTGTCTTTATATGTCTCTTTAAGGTCTTTTGCATCCACAACTTTTAAAAAAATGAACTATCTCAAAGTAGTCTATGTATAAATTATGTTAATTTTGGATAAAGAGGAGCTATAATATATATAGTTTTCTTATGTGAAAAGAAGAACAAAAGTTCCTCATGTGTACCCCCCATCCACAGGGCTTTTGTGATTTGGTATAAATGTGGTGGGAAAAGGCCACGCACTTGCTCAACTTGCCCACAGACAATTCCTACTGGATTCCTGCCATTTAAGTTCCTTCTTCAAATCTTTCCTCTCAAATCCAGGAGGTTCTAGTAAAATATTAAGTCTGTTATTGTCTTATCTCCTTCAATTTCCCCCAGTAGGATGGTTTTGAAGTAGGCTGCCTAACTGTGGATCTGGGAGTAGAAGAAGTTGCATATTTTTAAAGGATCTAGAAAAGAGGGTCTTGTTTATAATATAAGGGAATACAGAAATCTATACTATGTGGCTTGAAAACGAAACTTCGCTGGCATAGGCACTTTTATACAGTGTTGATGGGAGTGGAAATTAGAACAATGTTTTTGTGAGACAGTTAGGTAAACTCCACTGAAATATAAAATGCAGATTTCCTACCAACTGCTACCAGTTTGCTACCAATTGCACTGCTAGGAATTTACTCTCAGAAGCATGGCCAAGATATGTGCAAAATGTATTTGATTGTAGCACTATTAAGTAATAGAAAAAATGCTAGAAGCAAACCAAGTGCTTCTCACCAGAAGGAATTGGTTTAAAAATCACATAATCTGTTGGCACATGCCTCTAATCCAAGCCCGCAGGAGACTGAGGCAGCAACCCCCAGAGTTCGAGGCCAGCCTGGGCTACACAGTGAACTCAAGGCTAGCCTGAACTACACAGTGAGACCCTGCTCAGAACAAAACAAAACAAACAGGTAGTTCTTTTTCTAATTTGTCAGCTCCCCCATCCCTTTGTCCTTGAGTAAGCAATCAAATATTGCACACTTTTCTGCTTAAACAGGAAGTCCCTGCAACCCTGAAAACTTCTGAGCCACACTATTTCGTATAAACACTGGTCTCTTTCTAATTGGACACCTCCCTCTGGGGTCACACCTGCTGCCAGTAGTCTCCGAGCTCTTAAAGAATCTTTTTTTCCCCCCTTAGATGACATTTTTCTCTCCTCTATTGTGTAAACACATCAACCTTTAAAAAATGCCACCTTTGCTTTCGACAAAGGGACAACTTGGGGCATTTATACTTGGCAATAGACCCAGTATGAACATGTTATTTATGACTCAGGCAGAGTAGCAGAAGAGATGCAAACCTTAGGGCATCCCCACCTCTCAACACCCACAAGTCTCACGTCCTGACTGAAAAAGCTGCTAGGGTTTCAGTCACGGAATAAACCTCTTCTGGGAACAGATCTTGATCACTTGTCAAGCTTATTGGAAGCTCAGACTGTCTCTGATACAGGAGATTATATTCTACAGTCAAAGAGTAAAAAGAGAACTTGACAAGTTCTGAAACAAGAAAACTCTGTCCTCCGTCATCAGAAATTTCCCCCTACCTCTCTGTTCAGTTTTAAATTTCTGGGACACTGAAAAGAACTGACATCACTTTGAAAATCCTAAAGGGAACCATTTCTGTTGGGCTTACCTTTCTCTTTGACAAAGTCCTTTTGCACCTCTGGGATCAGAAAACTATATACCAACTCGGCGACAATCTCCTCTGACTGAAGATGAGTTCGCCTAAAACATTTTTAAAAATTAAATTACTTCCTTTTTCTCCCCCTTGAGTTGCTGACTTATACTTAGGTCTTTCTTGCTTTATTAGAAACTTCACTGCCCCAGTCTTGCTATCACATTTTCCTTGATTGAGTGATCTGAAATAACACATTCCTGGAGAGCTAGTTTAAATTCCATGGAAAATCTGGATTTGACCCTACCTACCCTTCATTCCCTAGAGAGGGAATCCTAGAAATACACAGAAGCCAAAAATTTTGGGATCAGCTCCAAATAGTGCTGCACTCATGTATCTATCCTGCATTCACACCTTGGAATATTCTGAAAGCTCACAGCATGAAAGTAATCACAGCTGAGCATTTAATTCCCAGGGCTCCTACCATACAAGGGCATAGGCCTGTTAACTTCTAAAGAGGTGTGCTAAGGAAACAACAGACACCAAAGCATTAGTTTGTTTCTCCTAAGTAGGGAAATCCTAAACCACTGAAAATTTACATACGAGTAACAACAGCAGGTGGCTGCCCCTGCCACACTCCTTCTGGGGGTGCATACCGGCTTTCCATCTCATAAGCAATGTCATTGATTTCCTCTGCCATCCTTTCTATTTCTGCTCTGGCTTGTTCCTCAGCAGTATTCTCTTCAGTATTTAATATTATGTCTTCCAGATAGGAGGTTACAGTGCTCCGGTGAACTTTAATCACCTGCAAGAAGCGAAAAATGTCCCCACTTACTCAGAACACCTACTGGAAACAGGACCAGAAAAACAAACATTGGCTGACCATTTTTTTTAAGCCTACATATTTTCATTCATATAGTAGGAACCCAGTGCAGATTTTGTCGAATAAAATGAAAAGCACAAACCCAAGGCGATTTTCTATGGCAAGAGCGCTTCGGTTTGCCAGGCTCCTTCCAGGCGCACCTGCACACCCAGCGGCCCCACTTGCCTCCTTAAACATCTGGTCCTCCTCCTGCAGGCGCCTCTGCTCACACTGGCGCCTTCCGCTCTCCTCCGCTTCCCTCGTCCGCCGCTGGCGCTCGGCCAGCATGGCGAAGGCGTGGATCCGCCTCTCTTCCTGAAGTCTCACGAGCTCTTTGGACAGGAAGTCAAGCATGTCTGCCAGCGCTCTTCCTTCCAGGCCAGCCAAGTGGTTTTCAAGCAGTGATACCTTGGAAAGATTAACAGTGCACCTTGAAGGATACAAATTGCGGATGGTAACCTTTAAGAGAGCTGGGTAACTCAAACCTCTTTAGAGTCGATTTGCTGTCAGGATGCATTTCGTTTTTATTAAGAATGCTGTCTCTCGGCCCTATTCCAAGGGGCAATGCCAGGAAAACTTATTACAAACTTAGATACGAACTAATAGATTGCTCAGTTAGTCACTATGGATCACAGTCCTCAAATTATGAAGAGAATTTAGCAAAACGTTTCTGTTACCAGTCACCAATGTATTATTTTCTTTCAGTTTCATCCAGAAGGTCAAGAGTGTCTTCCCAGACCTGAAGGAAAATCTCGGGCTTCTTATTAAAGATAATGTTGAAGTTTAATACAGTAGACTCTCCTAGAAATTCACACGATACCTTTTAATTTTTTAATGTCTGCTCTTTTCGTACAAGTTTGAGGAATTTCAAGAGCCCAAATAACATGGAAGTAGACAATTTGTCTTTAATAATTTCAAAGTCATTAACAACTATCTTTGAAGCAGTACAGGAAAAAGCCTACATTCTATGTGTTCACTGAGGTAAAATAAGCGATGCATGGGGCTCTCAGCCAGGACTCAGCCACGGTATCTCTCTATGGGTCTGTTTCCCAGCTTTGCCTCATGCAGCAAAGTATGTAAGGTGATTTACCCTGTGCCTGGCCTATCCTCAGGTGTAAAGGAAATGCTGCTTTAACACTGGCTGAGCCCACTCTGCTCAGTTCCCTTTCTGGTGTGTCTGCAGAGGGCTGGAATTCTCACGGGCCTTGAGGGCAGTATGGCTTTCGGTGACATTGTCAGCCAGGTGCGTTCATCGGCCTGACACGCCCACCCTCACCCACTCACCAGCCCACGTGTACTTTCTAACCACCAAGTTCAAGTACCTATGTACTCGGTAACAATGGAAAGAACAGGTGGAACCAGAAGAACATTTCACTACTCCATTCATAACGGAGTAGGCCCAGAGATCATAAGCTTCCTCACTTGGGGGACAGTCATGAACCGGCACATCCTAGTACTACAGACAGCTAAGTTAGTTAGACATTATTATAAGGCAGTTAGGCAAAGCTGGGCCCTCAGCATAGAAAAACAGTTGAGGTACATTCACTGATTAGCATTATAAAAAGGGGTACTACTTCCCCTAGAGATGAATAGCAGCAATTGATTTTTTTTAATTTAAATTGGAATTATTGGTATATTCTAGGTAGACAGCACAGTTACCTTCATTACTGTGATCTTGTACCTTTACATGCCAGGTCTTGGTTCTCATTTTTTCCCCTTGTCCCCACCCTCCCTTCACTCCCTCCTCCCCTCCCCCCTTCAAACACTTTAATTCCATTTTTACATTTTCTCATATTTTTTTCCTTTTCCCTTGTTCCCCTTTCCCTATCCTTCTCACTGTCCCTACACCTTTGGTCCTTTTCTTCCTATTTCACGTTGCTAATTGTCCTGTTAGGATCTTGAGTACTATTTTAGTTTTTCACACCAGAGAAACTATTTGGTATTTGCATATCTGTGACTTATTTATTTCACTTAGGAGTATATGCTCAAAGCGATTGATATTCTAAATAGATATCAATCTCCCTAGCCCATTCCCTTTCTGCAAATTCCTTGTACATGACTTCCTTTCCCATTTGATCCCCCATTTAATCAGTATTACCTGGGTGACTGTACTTGTAGTCTGATTGGTTGATCATGGTTTTGTCCCACCTTATGCCCACCTTGTAATTTTCCATTGCATCTTGTAGTTTCTGTCTCACCTTGACCCCCTGCCTTACCTCATGGCTTTGCTCAATAAAACGCCTTTGAAAAGCGAGGAGGATGAGCAACCCACTTTCTGGTCCCCCTCCCGTCTCTCTTAGACAGAAGCTATCTTTCAATAATTTTTTTCTACTCGTAATTTTCATGGCTCCTAAAATTCATTCTTCAATTTTAGAGAACACAAACTTGTGCTTTGGATATCTATCAGGTTGGGAGTTATGATATTTCCCTTGTTTGGATTATTTTTGCTTCTTTGGATACCATTTTTTGATTACTTGGTGCCCTAAATCACTAGAAGCTGGACATGGTGGGTCACAACTGTACTCCCAGACTCTGGAGGAGTCTGAAGCAGGAGAATGCCTCAAGTTCGAAGCCAGCCTGGGCTATGTAAGAACGACTGTGTCTGAAAACATCAACCAAATAACACTTCCGGTCCTAAGATGGCCACCTGTTCACTTCCAGCCTCCTTCCTCAATAAGGACTTCGGGAACACTCATGTAGGAAATCTAGTTTGAAGTTAAATAAACACATTTAGGAAGGCGATTCCCCTGCAGTGTATCACCTAAAGCATCGCCTGTCTGGGCACTGTGTATTGGCTTGATGGGAGAGGAAAGGGGGAGGGTCAGCATTTCTGTGGATATATGTGATGCTCCCTCCCTCAGGGCCCGCAGATTGTTGGTGTTACTGGGCAGAACTGACCAAGTGGTTCTCAGCTAAGTGACAGCTTTATCCATCTGTTCTTCCCTTTGTTCTCAGTTGACAGGATCAGTCAGTCTCAGGACAAATGAGTTGAAAAGCCAGTTGGCTTAGCTGCACTTGCTGAAGTCCATTATCGGGAACCTTGAAGGATGGTCAAGAAGAGTGTTTTTCCACTCAGTCTCAGGACCTATGCTTTCATGACACCTTGCTCCCTACCTGAACATTTCTGGGGTTGTAAGAGCTCCAGATCCCAACATCTGTGGTCTACATTCTCATCCTCCTCTGGGCCCTCTGTCGGGTCCTAGAGACTTGCTTTTTTACTCTCTTTCCCCGTCACCTCCACACCTGATTCCCCAAGCTCAGTGACCATCTATGGCGATGCCAAAGGGAAAAGTAAAGTCACAGTCATTTCCAAGCTCTCTGCCATTTGTGTTCACTTGCCACGTAGCACAAAAGTCACACATGCGATCGAAGGTGGGTCAGATTAACATTGCTGCAGATGTTACTTTCTTCTAACACTAAGTTCTGCAAATTGCTTTTTTCAGATTGATTTACAGATAAGCAGGGAAAGGAGTTAAAGTATTTATAGTACAGTCAACACTAGAAAGTGTGTATACTTAGATAAATGCTAGAAGAGAATGGGAAAAACGTTTATAGTAGCTGGTTTACAGATGCATTTCTCAGGTGCTTTGGGTAGCAGAGAAGCCAGGAGGTCAGTATGAAAGTTACCAAACACCTGGAGATAGCAACGTATATTTACAGTTTAATCAGAATGAGCTGTGTATGGCTACAAAATTTAGTGGTACTGATGTTTTAAAATAAATTACTTTTCGCTTGGTCATGTTGCTTTTATTTCTTATTCATTCTGCTAGAAGTTCTTGACAATTAAAATATAGTACAGTTACCAAATATATAAGGAAAATGGGATTAAGAAAAAAGAAGAATCGAGATATATTATGTATAGGTACAAAATCTCTGTGATAAACACGATCATTATGTGTATCTAAAGTGTACCAATAAAATTAATTTTAAAAAGGAAGTTATGAACTTACAACATATTGGAAGGGAAAATTTTAAAGTTGAGAAAATGGATTTCTTGGCTTTTCAGGGTTTCTTTTTTCTTTCTTTCTTTTTTTTTTTTTTTTTTTTACAAAGAAAGAAAAGGACACTATGTTTAATTCAAAGAATGTACCCCACCCTGCTTCAAATTATGGGCTGAAGTAGCATTAAGAATGCTGGTAGAGGGCCAGGGATTTAGCTCAGTGGTTCCGCTGCCTGCCTTGCAAGTACAAGGACCCAAGTTCAATCCTCAGTACCAAAACAAAAAAAAAAAGAAAAAGAAAAAAAGAATGCTGATAGAGTACTGAGATTCTAGGGAGTTTTAACCATTTCATTTAATGTTATTATAATGCTGCTTGTGCGATTAAAACAAAAACAAGAAGGAAAAGAGAACCTTGTGCTCATGCAAGTTCCTCTGCCGCTGTAAGGCCAGGGTCACTTGCTTCTCGGCTTTTTTCACCAGCTTCTCATCCTCTTGTAGTGCGTGGCTGGTGCGCAGCTCCTGGATCAACTCCAGTCGCTTTTCTTTCCCTTCAAACATCTGGAGCAGATAAATCAAAGACAGACTTACACCTTACCAACGCTGGTGCCAAGCACTAGGAGTCGTGTGCTGCAATTCCTGCGACTTTCGACTCTCAAGAGCAGCGGCAGCGGTCCATCCTGCCTTGAGCACTCGCGAGGGCTAGGGGTTCAACCTTCTTTCCTGCACCTTCAGCTCAGCCAAGGGGATCAGTTTTCAGCAAGTTGTTTGCTCGGACTCTGAAAATGTCTCTTAGAGACAAGGTGGCAACTAATAAGGTCATATTAAGAAACTAGAACCTTCCCCTCCGTGCGTTCCCTAGGAACCCCGAGGATGGCTTTTATCACAGCTGTGATTTTGTTTTCAATAAATGTGCCACTGGTTTGTAATGCACGATCTGCTATCTGAACTTCACTGGGCATTTCTCCTGGGAAAACAGGCAAAGAAGCTGCAGAATACAAGTTGAACACAAGCTGCTTACTCCCCAGCTCACCCGGACTTACTCATCACAACTCAGCACTTAAGAATTACAGCAGTGCGGGGAAAAAAGTAACTGGAGCTATAAACCGGTGCATTTGTAAAGTGAAGTGTGCCTGGCCAAGGGTTTGCAATCAGGAAGATCAGTTAAATTTGCTGGCAATTAACTAAACTTCTCTCAGACTCAGATTATTTGCCTGTAAGATGAGATTAATACTTTTTAAAAATTAAAATGAGAAAATATATGTGGAAGAAAGAATTTATGGCATGGGGACATAATAGGGGTTTTAAACAGTAACTATTAACTATTTCATTGTATAATGCAGGTATTGCAAGCTATATAGCTCAAATACAAATTACAAACTCAAATAATTATACTGTCACTTGGAAAATTGTGGCGTAATTCCAACGAAGAAGTAGGTTTTAGGTTAAAGATTTAGCTCAGGGGCACTACGCCTGCCTGGCAAGCACAAGGTCCTGAGTTCAATCCTCAAGTTCGGAAAAAAAAGTAGGTTTTTACACCGCCTTAGTCAGAACTGTGACAAGTAACACATGTCCTTTTTCTCTCCTTCCTCTATGTGCTACCCACCCAGATAACGGTGGCTCCAGAAGGGCATAGGTAGGTGATTCAAAGATACAGCTGCATAGGACACCCCAATCACCCCAATGAACCAAGGACATATGCATTCCAAAATCTATTCTCAAATGGGAAACTCAGGGCCAGTGGTGGGCCCCATGTACCATGTTCTGAATGACTCTGCCACGCAGTAACCTTTGAAGATAGATCACAGCCGTTTCTATGTCTTCTTCTTCCTGAAAGATCAAAGGGAGAAACAAGCAGCTTGAAAACAACGGCGGTCTGAGCATCAGGTATTTTTTAAAGACTTATTCCAAGCAAAAGTGACAGTTCCAGACATGCTAAATGAATTTAAAGAGAAATAAAGCATGGCCTTTGCCCTCATTGAACACATAATATTTTAAGTGCTACTTATTGTTCATGAAAATGTGTTATAATTTTTCATTGTAAATAATACATCATTACCAGCTGATACTAAGGTTAAAAAAAATCACAGAACTGCTGTGCAATCCCTACAAATAATGCCATTTCCAGCAAAATCTTTCTTGAAGCAATGAATATTGCTTATTTAATATCCCTTATTTTCATGTTTGATCCTGAGTCAACAAAGAATACAACCAGTCCATTATTAGAGTGAGGCACTCTCGCAAGAGGTTAACCTAGATTGGTAAAATCAGAATCACCTGGACAAGACCAACCATCTATAAAAATCATCATAAGGGGCCAAAACATTTAGCTCAGTGATGCCGTGCCTGCCACCTGCCTAGCAAGTGCAAAGTCCTGAGTTTCATCCTCGGTACTAGGAAAAAACCCACCATAAATAACTCTGTGTCACAGCAGAAAGAGTGTGCTCTGGTACACACACACCCACACACACACACATATATATTTCCCCCTCCAGGTACTATGAATTGAACTCAGGACCTTGAGCTTGCAAGGCAAGTATGGTGCCACTGAGCTAATCCCCAGCCCCTTAGAAGTGTGCTTTGGAAATCTAAAGCCCCTCTCAGTATAAAGAAAGCAACAGCCCAATGGTGGCTTCAACAAAGACAGTGTGTGACCAGAGGCCTGCATCGAACCTAGGAAAGGGACATAGTCTGGTTGAGCAGAGAGAGCGCCTGGGTCCCTTCGCGGGGGGCCACTTGTCAGAAAACATAACAGGCATTAATGAAATCTCTTCTTGATGCCCCACCCTCCTGAGCAGGGTCAGGCTGCTTCTGAGGAGGACCCTCTTGTACCAGAGCTACGTGCTTGTAGCCAGAGGGACAACCATCCTAGTTCTCTCCATGAAGTAGCAACCTCACACCGCAGCATCGCTGGCAGTTCTTTGTGGGTCTGTTTAGTATGACTCAGCCTAAACCCAAGCCAAATCTGATGTCTTGCCCAAGCTGAGTTAGCCAAGTGGCCTCGGGTGAGCCTTGAGTCATTCCTTGCCCAGATGCCAGACTGTCTTGAAGACACCTCTGGCATTTTATCCTCTTTGACCCCCACAGACATCCACTGGTCCTGTGTGGACCACAATCGTCAACAGGTCCCTGTGTGGAAAGAGGATGCTGGGAACTGATCATCATTCACTCTTCTTTTCCTATTTGGAACACGTGACATTACCTTCTGTTGCATTCTTTCCAAGGGAAGATTACTCATTCTTTGGGGTTTTATTCTTCAAAAGATTGGGTGTAAATTTTGCTTCATTTCACTGTGCTTTGGTGTGTGTGTGTGTGTGTGTGTGTGTGTGTGTGTGCTTGATGTTTGGTGCATAAGAATAAAGAAAAAATCAATTTTGAGTCTGAGCTTGAGAAATGAACACTGTTAAATTAGGTGTGTTCAACCCAAGGTATGTTAAGAATGAACTGACCACAATACTGAATTCAACTCTTTCAATAAACGTTTCAAACTTACGTTGGAAGTCACTGCCAAGGTAGGAGTAGGAAGCCGCGGCTGAGGTATGGGCTTCTTTTGAAGGAAACGTAGAGGTTTCTTTTCTTCAAGAGCTTTATTCTTCTTATCCAGCAAAGCCTGAAATAATACCAACTAATGTCACCTCTTCTTCTCTTTGTTATTTCCTTCACTACCAGGCCTAGGCTGCAGGTCAAAATTAATATCTCTATGCTGTGCTGTGTCTGCTTGAGAAGGTCTGAGGGGTGCTGTGGCATTCCTTAGGACCATCAAGTACTGGACAAACACAGTACATGTTCTTAGCATACTCACTGTCACCAAAATTTGGTGAGATTTAAATTTTTTCTTTGAATATTTTAAAGGCTCTGTCTTGCTCATATACGTAAAACCCCTAACTCCCATTTTTTTCACATGAGTTAAATTGCTTTTTATTTTTATTTTTTTGGTACCAGGGATCAAACTCACGTCCTTGTGCTTGTGAGGCAGATGCCGGAACCACTGAGCTAAATCCCCAGCCCTAAATTGATTTTTTAAATAAATGCCTGCACAACAAGAAATTTTTCTGAGCAGCAAAACACTGAAATACTTTGGATGTTTTATTGTTACAGGAAAACAGAGAGCATTAAATGACAATTATCTTAAAGTAGATTTTTTTTCTTTTGGTATTTAAACCTGCATATCTAGATTTTCTAAAAACCAAATTGTCTGCTAGTGAGAGCATTGTGTACATTTGCACACTGTCTTTTTTTCTTTTCATCACTAAAAGTATTGCCAAAATTATACATGAAATTTTGTTCATGATTCCATTTTAGCCATAGGAGAATATTTTTTATTGAGTTTATTGGTACAATCTAGGTCTACAATACAGTTACATTCATTAATGGGATCCTGTACCTTCACATGACAGTTCTTGGTTCTCATTTTTTCCCCTTGACCCTGCCCTCCCTTCACCCCCTCCTCCCCTCCCCATTTAAAAACTCTTTATTTCTATTTTTAAAAATTGTTTTTGTTTTGTTTTTTGTGGTACCAGGGGTCAAACTCGGGTCCTTGCACTTGCAAGGCAGGTGGAAGAACCACTGAGCTAAGTTCCCAGCCCTAGGAGAATATTTTTGAAGTACCAATAATTCTGATGTTTTGTGATTTTAAAGTCATACTTTAGTTAATTTTCTCTCATATTATAATTTTACATTTTATTTCCCGTGAAAACACAAATAAGTAATATTTTGAAAACAAACATCAAACTAAAACCTGAAACTAGTAAAAATGTGTAATTTAGACACTTAAAACACCTGAACCAGTTGAATAGAGCCTCTGAGTTTCTTAAAAAATAAGCAACAGAAAATATATGTTTCAGTCCTATAATAGCCACAAGCAGGGCATCAATAAAGAGCAGCTGCAGTCTAAAGCATCAAATAATTGTAAAGTTTAGAATCTCGTGAGAGAAAAGCCTCCCGAGACCATTTCGGTAAGGATGTGGGAAAGCAGGCACTACCTCCCATTGCTGAAGCTGATGCATCATTTATGTAAGAAAATCTGGCCCATGTCCACCAAGCTAGAAGCGCATATGCACTGTGATCCATATATCCCTTATCTAGGAAACTGTCTTCCAGATATGCCTGCACCTGTACCAGACTATATGCAAGTACAGTTAATCACTGCACCACTACTTTTAATACTTTAAAGCTATCAAAATCTAAATATCTGTCAAATGGGTGCAGGTTAAATACATTTTGGTGCGTTTAAAGAAAGATATATTGAGAAAGTATAAAAGATAATAAGTTCACTTTTCTTGTACTGTCAAATCTTTCCAAAATATAATTTTTAAAAAAGGTAAGAGCAGAACAGTACTTTTTATATACTGACATTTGTATAAAAAAAGAGGTTAAAAGATGCTTATATGTACTTATATATATATATCTCCAGCCATGTACACACACACACACACACACACACACACACACGTCTCTGGAAGGGCAGCCACGAACGCGTAGCCATGAAAGCATAATCTTAGGCTGTCTCCAGAGAAAGAACTGCATGGCTGAGAGATGGGCAGAAAGCAAAGACTTAATATTCTCATATAACTCATACATTTTGAACCATGTTGATGTTTCCTCATCAACAAACTAATGTCTTAAATACAAGAAAAAAAGAAAAATTAAAATTTAAAGAAAAAAATTAAAAGATTTTCACAATTTAAAAAATTTCTGGTTATGAAGTCCAATCAAAAGCATAAGCAAATAAGCAAAAACAAAACAAAACAAAACAAAACAAAAAAACCCTGAAGTTCTCTTCAATTCTAGCCTAAAAGCCAGGGATTTAGCTCAGTGGTGCCGCCACCTGCCTCACAAGCACAAGGACCCTAGTTTGAATCCCAGTACCAAAAAAAAAAAGTCAAGCAATCCAGCCTAATAATTGCTTTGAATGGTAGATCTGAGAGAAAATGAACATGAAAATATTAGAGAATTGTTATCAATCAATACATTTTAATATGCCCCCAAACTAAGCAAATATGTTTAATCAATGGATTTTTTTTTTTTTTTTTGGTTCTGGGAATTGAACTCGGGTCCTTACGCTTGCAAGGCAGGCCACCGAGCCACTGAGCTAAATCCTCGGCCCTAATCAATGGATTTTATAAACAGACAAAAAGGCAGACTGGCTGATTCTTTTAGTCTACTTTATGACAAGCATCAAAAATATATTCCAGTATAAATTCTACCAAGAGTGTACTGAAAATACTGCACTGGGTCAATTCTTTTATACCTTTCTGGATATTTCTCCTTCAAAATTTCTATGACATAATTCTCTGTGGTTCTGAATTCCCAAAATAATGTAATCTTAAGACGCAGATAAACCCGAACGCCTGTACATCGACTGATATTCAGTGACTCTCTTCAATATTCCAAATTGAGCAACTCCATATAATCAACTGCACCTCACCTCAAATCCAAGAGGGAAGTTTTTTAAGTGGACAGTAAAATAATACGAAGCATCTGATGTCTATAGCTGTAACAAACATCGAACAGCTGAACTCCTAGCCACATTTACCCTAGTTTTTCTTTACTTTCTTTTTTTCGGTACTGGGGATTGAACTCAGGACCTTCCACTTGCAAGGCAGGTGCAATGCCACAAAGCTAAATCCCTGGCCCCAGACTTACCTCAGTTTCCATTTACTGGAGACCAGATATTAGGCTATCAACAAAAAAATGAAGACATACCAAAAACAACAAAGAAGAACAGAGCAACCCAAAAGAGTCGAAAGCATCGTATCACAGTGATGTTCATGCCCATGCTCATGGCAGCACAGTTTGTAACAGCCCAATCTTGGAAACAACACAAATGCCCATCAACCAATGAATGGATAAAGAAGATGTGAGTTTTTCATACAACGGAGTACTACTCAGCCACGAAGAATGATAAACCTGAGACATTTATCACTAGAATGGATGCACCCAGAAACCGTACTCTTGAGTGAAATAAATCAGACACACATGTATAAATATGGCATTGTTTCTGTGGTGTGAGAAACTGAAAGTGTGAATAAGAACCAAAATGTAGAATGGATACTGTGAAATAGCAAGAAAATGTTTAAATGGGAAGGGGCACAAGGAAGAGGGGAGAGGGTAAGAAAGGAAGGGAAAAGAAAAAATGAAAAAAGAAAGATAAAATAGAAACTAAAACTCTTGTAAATAAGAAGGGGAAGAGGGATACAAAGGAGGGAAGGGGAATGGGGAAAAATTTGCATCAAGATATACCATGTAAGATACACATTTCATATGACGAATATGATCATTATGTATATATAAATTGTACCATAAACTTAATTAATGATAAAAATAAAAGTATTTTCCATTGTTAAAAAAACACTATAAGAAATAACAACAAAAAACACAAAGTACAGCTTGAATAAACAGCAGCCAGACTCAGATGTGCAGTCCTTGGAAATTCTTCCAAAAGTGTATATTTTTCCAAAAGGAAGAAACAGATCATCCTAATCTTTTTTAAACTCGTTTCAGAAGAGAGGGGAAGAAGGAATACACCTTAGTCCATTTCAGGAGATCTGCCAAACACTGACATCTACGCCATTTATAGTCAAAATGGGAAAGCTGGGCCGGCTGGGGATTTAGCTCAGTGGTGCCACCCGCCTTGCAAGCGTAAGGTCCCAAATTCAATCCCAGTACCAAAAAAAGGGGGGGGGGCAGGGGAGTCATTTCACTCATGAATAGAGTCACAAAAAACCTGATCAACATATTAGTAAATCAAACTCAACAATTTATTTAAAATAAGCTCATATAACTTAACCAAGGCAAGTTCATTCCAGGTTTGTAAGGATAAATTAATATTTATAAAATTTAAATGTTAAGAAAAAAATATAATTACTTCATTAGAAACATTTGATAAAATTCAACATAGACACATCATGAAAAATTTTAATGAATTAGAAATAAAAGGGAATTTCCATAACCTAATAAGAGATATCTACACAAACCAAACTCTTCCAGAAAGTGAGAAAATGATAAACACAGTATTCAGAAGTAGGGAGATGAGGAAAAGAACCACCAAGATATGTGTAAATTATTGTTAAAGGCTTATTTTTTATGCATGTGTTCTTCACAGATTCATGTTGTATTACTGAAACCAGTATAGCAAACAAATGTGCATGGGACATCATAGACCAATGGATCCCAAAGTGTGGTTCTGGGGCATCAGCGCGCACACACACACACACACACAAATACACAGACACACAGACACACACACACACACACACACACAAATACACAGAGCAGTTCAACAATATCCTCACTCAGACCTGCTGAGGGTGGGGTCCAGCAATGTGTTTTAACAGGCCCAGCCTGCGGTTCTAATGTGTGCTAATGGGACCCATCAAACTTTTTTGCTTAGATGAGTTTAAACTAGATGCAAAAGAAATTGAACATGACTTATTTCCTTCATAATGCCCTGCTAGCCAATGCAAAAGGAGAAATTTGGAGTCTCTTACAACTATCAACACCAACAGTCATTCCCAATACAGTACCAGAAATTGCTATAGCTCAGTGTAGTGTCAAATTTTATTATCGAGATCTAAAGTTGGAAACATTTTTTGGAAAACAATGTGACTTCTGTAAATGAGGAGGATGACTTCCAAGTTTTCCTGCACTTTGAAATGATGGGGAAAACACAGTGGTTCAGCACGTCATGGGCATGCTCCAGAAGAGAAGGTCTAGAGAGCAGAAAACACTTATAGCTGCATGGCAAACCCACTGGTCACTACTGCCTGAGACAAAGTGAAGCTTTTGGGATATAGCATTTATCTGCACAAGTCACACTAAAAGCATCTTGTCTTCCAGATAATGACGACTATACCTTATGAACCTCTGCCAACTCATAGTCCATCCTTATTCCCCTCTTCAGGAAACCTGCTTTGGTGGTGATGACTTTTGGTTTTGGGGGTTTGATTATTGGTTTTGTCACAAAATCTGGGAGAGATGACTCAAGTTCAACTAAACCTGTGGGAAAGAAATGTATGTTTTCAGTATGAATTGCTTTTGTTTGTTATTTTTAAAGTATATTATTAATTTTAGCAGCTGTTTTTCAAGTGGTTTCATTAGAATTGTTGATGAGTTATAGGATGAACCGTCTCTGAAATGTAAAGCATATTTGTATATAATTACCTCATATCCTTGGTTATTTACACTATAAAATGAGAAATACCCTCTAAAGGAAACATACTATCCTCAACAAAGCAACAGATTCCATAAAATCAATAGAAAATTAATAATCCCATAATAAATGGTGCTGCCATTTAAAAGTTTATCACCTTCTGCTTGGAAATAGCCAGCCAGAGATCCGAGTTCAACAATGTAATTATCAAGTCATATCCTTGGCCATGCGATGCCTCAACTTGTCAAATGAAATTTACATCCTGTAAACAAGCCTTGGGGACTTCACAAGAGGTACTGTCCTCTTCAGGAATTTGTCTCCTGTTAGCCATCCCTTTGCCTCTGGTTTTCTGGCATTTCTTGGTAAAGGCTCAATTTCAGGATATGTATCTTGTTTGCTTCATAAACCTGACATAACATTTTTTTTCTAGTTCATTATTGCATAACTTATATTATCAGTGGCATCAAACATTTTCAAGTGTGTAGCAACTAGTAGAGCTTGCTTCTTGCTAACATGCTCTATGGCGTGTCCACAAACTTACTTGGGTCTTAGGAGCATTTACTGAATTGTATGAACTCACATTAATTGCATTGAATGTATGTATTGCTGTTACTTACAAATCTTTTTGTTGTTTAGCTTTTAATCTAAATTTATACATCTGCTCTGTATGTCCAGAATAACATTCTTAGACTATACTTCTAGTTACTTAAATCGTTTACCTTCATAAGTGTTCAGATAGTGATTTTTTACTACAAAGTCCTCTGAGTTGTTGTCTGGGAAACGACCAAGGCGGGACAGAGGCCCATAGACTTGTGATGCATAATCAGAATATTCCTTGATGATATCTCTTCTCTTCAACTTCCCTTCTATATTTTTCCTCTTTTCTACAAGTTTTCTGATAGCTGAAATAAAACATATCTCTATGGTTATCTCTAAAATATTGCTCCAGAATTAGAAATTCAGAGAGATAAATCATTTCCAGTTTTACTCATCGGGAAGTTACTGAATTGAATGGATTTGACGATGTCTGAACACAGCTAGAATGTAACCTTTCTGAAAACAGGCGGGCCAGCTGGGGCTCAGAATCACTGAACCGGCAGGACGGACGGAAGGTCCATCAGCCTGCATTCTCAGTTGGTGCTCATCCAAAATCTTTTATAACCACAAGCCTTTACAAGCTCCAGGCTAAGAAGCGTTCAGCAAAAGCTTGTTAAATGCAGGAAAGAAACTCAAAATAAATGATATATGAGGGGATTGTTCTCCCCTACAAGAATAACTAAAAGGGAGGACCACGGTTGCATGTTGGTTCACCGCAGATCAGTGGCAACACGTCCCAGCTCTCCAGCTTTCGGGATTGCTTGGCAGTCAGAGGGAAAGGGTGAGCTGGGCACAGCCGGTGAGCAATGAGCTCGCCGGTCCTGAGGACGACCTCCACCTGCTCCTTTTGTTTTTGTTGTTTTTTCCTAAGTCTCACCACAGACCCACGCCCCTTACAACAGCTGGGAAGAGCGCACTTCCGATGGGCGAGAAACCTTGTCACAGGTTGAGAAGTCACCACAGGAAAGGGGCCGCCTGCAAAACTTGCAGCTCGTGGCTGTTGCTCGTATTTCTCCCCTAGCGCTTTTGTGCAGGACTTGGAATTTTAGAAGTAAAAGTAGTTTATATTTTATTATTTATCTACAAAACTGAGTGAAGTCTATCACTAGTTATGCCATGCACTGAAAAGAAGGATGTGAACAACATCTATGTTAAAGGATTTTTCTCATATCAAGAAAAAGCTACAGGTTAAGTTCACTACAAATAATTTTAAAGTAATAATTTAAATTTTATGATTGTTTTGTACTTTTGATATTTTTGAATGATTTTTAAACATGTGATTACATTGTTATTGTATGTATCGATCCCTAAGTTGTGTATGTAGGTGACATAATTTTTATAAGTAAATAAATTGCACTAGGTTTCCCAGTAAGTAAAGCTATAAAATTAAAGGTTAATAATTCAAATTTTTAGTATAAATTTTAACTTAAATTTTAATCTATTCTTATCCTGTGCTGAATAAAAAATAAGCTGTTTATTTCTTTTTTCTTGTATAAAGTATAAATATGTAGAGAGTGCATACACTTCTGTGCAATTTACTGTGACATTAAAATTTCTTAGAGTGATGACTAGGAAAAAAGATGCTGAAACTGCTATCTTTAGGGGCAACAGTGGAAAAAAGAGTTGAGCAACAGATTTCTCTATCTATGTCCTTGATCCACGAATACAGGAAACCCACTCCCTACACACACACACACACACACACACACACACACACACACACACACACACACACAGTCAACGCCTTGACTACCTGTTCAGATATGGTCATTTAATTTCCTGAGGGGTTTCTTATCTATGCTCTACTTTAGGGAAATAACTTCTCTCTCACCCGCTTACTGCCTATTTGATACACCAGGCCCAACATAGAATTTCTCACAGCTAACTCAGGTTTGGTCCCACACCCAAAGCACAGCCCCTTCCACAGTCCCCAGGGTTCATACTACACCATTACCAGAGACGTGTGTGTGCTGGATTTGTGCCACTTTTGCCTCTTTTGCTTCCTGCAGTTTATACCACTGGGCATCCAAGTGCTTCATGTTCAATTCATTTTTATTCTTGTCCCGTTTCCTCAGCAGCTCTTTTAAAACCTCCAAGCGAATTTCCTGAAGTCTTCAAGTAAATGACAGATCATTAAGAAGACATGGTATCTCAGACGAGGCATTCCAGACAGGCTCATCTCTGTGGGCACCACATTCACATGCTTTGAGAAGGCCATGCTGGCAAAAGCGTGAAGATACACGGGGCGGGGGGAGCGTGGGAAGCAAGTGAGCATCGCATCTCTGTGTAATGGGATCGGGTAGGAAGGGGAGGAAGGGTAAAGAACAGAGTGCAGGCCGAGGGTAATGGAAGGGTTCTCTAGACAGTTGGGCTGTGAGAAAACAGGAGAGTGGTGGATACTGGGGGAAGGATAAGTAGAGAAAATGAGGTGGGCGTGCTATCTTAGAGGCAGATGTGAACATGCCTGCGACCTGCACAGACTAGGTACTAGGATCTGGTTCCCTTCCCTTCCTTTATGTGTTCTCCTAGGACTCAGCTAGGCACAGATGATTGTGAAAGCCGCACCTCCAGCCCAGACGTATCTGAACCAACACTTACGTCTACTTGAACCTTCTGCTGTCCTTGGACAGTCTCAAGATTCACCCCTTCTCTCCTATGTTCCTCCCTCTGCTAACAAGTCCTCCTCTGAATACTGGCAGTCGTTCCTGCACTCATGTTTTTGGCATCTGTCTCCTAGCCTGGTCTCCTCGGGGCTAGTCTCCCTCCTCTCCAGGCTTTGCTCCACACAGCCCTCAAGGCTTCTTTCCTAAAACAGATCTCTGAGTACGTTTTACTCCCACTTGTAGAAAGTCATGCACTCTTTTATTCACTCACTCATCTGTCAAATGCTTATTAAGTCCACCATATTCAAGGCAGGAAACTACGATGCACCAGAAAAAGTTCCCTCTCCAGAAGTGCTGTGTGGGCAGAACAGGCACAAACCCCAGCATGGGCAGCACTGGGAGACCGAGCCAGGCCAGCACTGTGAGAAGAAGCACCCAGGGGGACAGAGGAGGAGAAGGTGCTGAAGGCAGAGCCCCAGGAGAACAAGGACTGAGGCTGGTGGCACTGACGAAGGAGAGGCTGTGCCTCAACAGAGGGAGTCACTGCCCTGTGAAAGGGACCGGAGCGATCACAACCACAGCACACTGGTGGGGCCTCGTGAAGCGAGTGCACACGGGAAATGAGGCGGCCAGGACAAGTGAAGATGGAAAGACAAGCGCCTTCAGCGAGGACCCACGCAGCAGCCGCCTTTCCCTCCAGAGTGAGAGGTGTGGTCACGTCACGTCGCTGACAGACTGTGCGTGTGCCATGGCCCCTCAAAAGATTGGGGTTGAAAGAAACAAAACAAAAAAAAACCCCGGCCCGGCGATGTCACAGCCCCTGTAGCACCACTGCAGGACGCATCGCTCACAGGTCAGGAGAAGGGAGCCTGCTTCACAGCCGGACAAGCAGAAGAACAGAGCACAGACTTTGCACAGTACTGGACAATGGGAAAACAGCTATGATACTGGCTTATGTGTTCACTGTGCTATACTTTCATTGTTATTCTAAGACATATTTCTACTTATTCAAATTTTTTGCTATAAAAGTCTTCCAGCAGCAACCACGGACACCTTGTGTTTACTGCTCCTCTCGGCTGCAGTAAGAGGCCACCCTGAGTGGGGCAGGGTCCCGTGAGCACAGGTTTCCTAGGTGTTCCCGCTGCTGCTAAGCGTCAGCTGCAGACTTCACCACTTTCCCTCGGTCGCTTCAATCACAAAGGGAGATAACAGTCTCCACGCCATGAAGCTGCTGAGAACGTTAAACAAGCTAAAACAATATTTCTCGAATTAAGCATGGGCTAGAATAACCTGGAGGGCTTGGTGCAATATCGAGGGCCGTGCCCACCCTGGTTCAGGGGGGCTGGGGACGGGACCAGGGAATCTGCATCGCTTACAGGTTCCCAGGGAATGTGGATGTGGCTGGTCAGTGAATCACACCTCGAGAGCCACTGGCTTAGAGCATTACCGGACACGCAGTAAGCCTCGGGGAGTGTTACATGCCGGAACCACCTTCCTCCTCTCATCGTCACTGGCTACTGTCTGCTTCTCAGTGTCTTACCCCCTGCCCCCAGTGCAGAGCCACCTTCCCCATTCGCCCATCCCAAACAGAGCAGAACCTTCCCTTCGCCTGCAAACCTGCCCCAGAGGCACCGCCCTGGAGGGCCTGGCCAGTCCTCCAGCCACCTCCCGTGCCCAGCCTCACAAGGGACCACAAGGAGCTCTGCTGGGCACAGGTCTCCTATTCAACCTGTTTCCTCATCTTACAGCACAGAGCCCAGCACCTAGGGGAGATTCAAAATACATTTATTAAAACTATCCTCAAGGTAACAGAAGTACTCACTTTCTTAGGTGATGCCTTCCGTCTGGCCAGACAGACTTTTAATATTTTTAATGCCTTCTGACAATATTCACTCCTCTGCAATGTACAGCAATAAATTTAAATCTTTGAAAACAGGATTGGGTTGGGTGTGGTGGCCCACATCTGTAACCCCAACACTCAAGAGGCTAAGGCAGGAGTAAAACTGTGAGTTCAAGGCCAGCCTGGGCTATAGTGAAATCGTCTCAAAAAAAAAAAATTATTTTTTTTTAAAGAACGAAAAAGAAAAGAGGCTTGGGTAGCTTGATACTTACCTTGTATCCAACACTATTTCCTGTTAAATCTCAAAGTTTTACCACACAGAGTCAGGCTTAATTGAAAGAAGTGTTGCAAAAATGTGAACAAATTTTGAGTCCAGAACTAAAGCTGCATCCCTAACTCTCATGCGTTAGAGACCCAACAATGAAATGGCTCAGCACATCCTAGGGCAAAGGCCAACACCTGCTCATTAGGAGCTGGCATTTGGGATTCTAACATTGTCTCATCATTTTTACATATCATTCCCTAAAATGTATCAGTTAAAACGATTGAAAACTGGTCTGCGATCACCCGGCGGCGTGCGCGCGAGCTCCCGGCCTGCGCGGGAGCTCCCGGCCTGCGCGACAACAGACCCAGGAAGGACCCAAGGACCCCAGAGGGGTTTTTTTTCAGCTGCCTGCCTGCCTGCCTGTCTGCGA